ATAATCCTTTCCACAATTTCCATGAGTCAGATGGTGCTTAATACTGCGTAATTATGGAATGACTACTAACGACAACTTGCCAGGGGGTTCATTTGCAGCACTGAAATGTCAAGAGCTAAATTTGGCACTGTCACTTTGTGGTCTCCTTGTCTTGCAAAGATTACTTTATCTTAAAATGAAAACTGTTATTCACTATTTGTAGGTGAACGTATCTCTTCCTTTGCAAACTGCATTTTGCTCTGCAGAGACATTATTCAGTTCTCTATAATTAAAAATGTTATTCTGGAGAGCTACAAAATGCCCTTTAATATTGTCTTACTCTGTTCCGCCTGTTTCCTTCATATAGTGGAGATATAGGAAAGATGAAATGTGATACTGATATCTAGAGATAGACTTAAATCATTTTTTATTTGCTCCTAAGGTTATAATTATACTGCAAATGGGTGAATATTAAAATTCGTGCACATCAAAGTTGTATTAGAAATTCATTTTTCTATTGAAATGCCCAAGTAAACAAAATCAAATTATATAAAGCAAGCTTAGAAACAACTTAATGTTTCACTCATTTTTTTTCCTAATTAGAAATTGTATGTGTTTTTTTCCTAGTTCTTTTTCTCAAACTAGTTAAAGTTAAGATCAACCCATGTTATATATGTGGCATTGCATATTACCACAAACAATATAGGTTGGGATTTCTAGTTTAAATTATGTTATTTATTTGTAATCAAAATTGAGATTTCATACTCTTCTTAGAATATTAACCTGATGGAAAAATTTGAAGGTCATGTTTGATATGTGGTTGTGTTTAATTAAGTAAAAAAAAAATCTTAAAATTCAATGTTTCATTACATTTAAGAGTATTTTCAAAATATCCATTTCTGTTTACAACATTTTATAGGAAGCTGAAAAAAAGTGACTAGGAACACTTCTAAGTTCCTAAGATTTCAGTCTTGTTATACAAAAGAGAACACCCAAGTTGTCAGCAACAGGTGCAGGATAAAGAAAAACTGAACTTGCTGGGATGTGGGGTCTGTCATCACCCCCTCTTCTGGCTACACAGGACTGTGCAGGGCAACACAAGAACAGCTTTACTTCATTCAAGAGCAAAACAAAACAACAGCAACAAAACAGGCTCTTTTATAGTATCTTGAAACAGCAACTAACTCTTTAAAACTAGAGGTAGCTTAGGATACAGTTAACACAGTTAACTCTGGTTTTGATGTGCTAAGTTAAATCCTAGGTTCATCATTAACTAGTTATTTGATCGTGGACATTGTGTACTCTGAGTTTCTTTACTTGGAAAATGAGGACAAAAACATCCCAGGTTAATGTTGTGAGGGTTAAATAATATGGCATAGAATAAATTCACAATGAGGATTTGTTGTTATTAATACAAATAGCTGTATACTTTTTAATCTTTCATGGAGCATATCTTTGTTCAACATCCCCAGGAATTCTTCTAATGGGATTAGGTTTAGATTAGCCTTGTTAGAAATGAGAAAAAAAAATCATTATGAATGAACACAACACATTTTCATACCTGGGCCCAAACAAGTCACCATACATACATAACTATCTGCCTCCACTGAATACATATAGGGATATGTATTGGGAACAGTAGATATCCACCTTATCCATTAATTTTAGAGTGTAAGTCTTCCAAGCCTGGGATCAATTTTCTTTGAGATTTGTCATTCAGGAGAGCTTCTGTCAATGCATTCTGTACCTTACCTTTTTTTGTAACATCGCCTGCAGTGTCTAGTCAGGGATGACCTGATTGAGTGATGAGTACAATGACAATGAAAATTTAAGCAGCACAACGAGACATATGGCTCAAAGTCCCCACCTTGCAGCAATTCTGTCATACCTGCTAATGCATGCATCATGCAAAACATCCAGAAAGATATTGATGACCTTTTGAAATGTAAGATGTAGTCATTTTGTCACTTATTTACCTCCATTATTTCACTTGCTTGCAACTATTTTCATTCCTGTGTTTGCACCCATAACCAAACTGATGGTGGGTTTTAATTCCTAGGGTGGTGGTTTTGTCAGGCAGTGTATTCTGTTAGTCTGGGTGTTGTGGTTTAAGTCTCAGTTCTCTGAAGGCAAAGAATGATTAGAAACACTAAAGACAGTAACTTTAATATTAAAATATCCACAGAAATTTGTTTTTGAAAAGGGTACTCACAGAAAAAATCCATGAGAACAGAATGTCAGGTAAACATTCCCTCAGAGAATTTCAAAGGTTGTAGGTCACATTCCAAACAAATAATCAACAAACCAGGAAATCAGAGTGGAAAGCACTTTTAAGAAACTGATAAAGCTAGTTAATAATATCCAAGATTATTCAAAGTTTAGGAGTCAAATGTGGTCATTGAATGTTGTGTATTTTAAGAAATTGGTCTTAGCTGGAAATAATATTGAGGAATTAAATTTTACTATTGCTATATACTACATAAAGATAGGTAAACTTCAGAATTACTCAAAGTCCAAAGGATACTTGGATTTCTAATCTTACATGATTTTTGGAAGAAAGTTTTATAGTGCAATTAAGTTTTTTTCTTTGTCAAATTTCAGACAGTTAATGAATGCATATAACAGCTCTTAATCTCTTTAAAGTTTATTTTCTCTGGTTGAAAAAAGTTTATAATTTATGTAAGGTAATATATCAAGGAACATCATTAATTAATTAAAAGCATCATAACATGAAATGTTTTAATATAGTTTCAAAATGGTATAACCAATGATATGACATTTAATTTTTTTAAAATTCTCAACTTACGCCACATTCTTTGGCTCTTACAGGACACCTCCAAATGTGCACTGATTTTATATTGATGAATGTAAGTTGTTGGGCATTTAAATTACCTCTTTCCGTTTTTCTTCTTTGCATTAGGAAAAGGCCCCCTGAATGAAAGATGAAAGGTCACATCTTCCTGCTTTTTCAAGATTCATTTAACTGCTCTTTAAAAATTTGTGTCCCTTATCAGAACCTATCATATCTCTTTTTCTGCAATGGAATAATGATGAGGGGTCACACGATGCTCTCACAGGGACTCTCCTGAGTGTCTCCTTCTTCTGCCTGGTTGTACTAGCTTGTACTAGGATTAATTCAAATATAGATGGAAGGACAAAACAATTTTCAGGACTCCGAACAGTCACTGCTCTGTTGACTAGAACAAATAATTGGCTTAATTTCTGTATTGCAAAAGTGATGTTTTGTCTTTTCTTGGAGATCTCTCACCTGCCAAACACAGTCTTTATGCAATTTACTTATTTTGACATAGTTCCTCAAGGAGGAAAATTAATGCCTGTTTTCATTAGTGGAATACTTCATTTTCTTCTTAAGAAGACACATTTTTTCCTTTCCAGAAGTTTATAATCCCAGATGCAAAGAGATAATAGTCTTATAAATCACAATAAATATAAAGAAGAATAGTTTTGACACTCTAATATTACTATGGAGTGGAGAGTTAAAGACTACGAACAATCAGAATTATTGTAGTGGCTATAATCACACTCATTGTATTATGAAGTCAGAGTGCATCTATAATGATATATTAACTAAGATTGCTACAAATGAAAAATTTGGTTTCCTTTTAATGAACTGTATGCATGTAGTCCTCAAGGTAGAAAAACACTTATTAGAAGATCTGGCATGAATTTCTCCTACTAAATGGATATTCATTAAGAATAGTTCCTAATCAGTATTAGATCTATGATCATCTTTTTCCGAATATGACTTCATATACCTAAAAACTACAGATTAAACATTTGTAATACTTTATTACTTTGAAATATAAAATGTTATATTTAATAAGAATGCTCTAAAATTATATCTATTTATCACATGTATCCAAGGGTGATCTAATTCAACCTTTATTTCAGGGATGTTTTGAAAATCTTATTATACTAAAGCAGGCAATTAAGTGTTTATTTGTAGGCCGGCATTATAGCTGCAAGTAATAAATATTAAGTTAGTAAAATTCAGATTTATTACATACAGAACTTTTGGCTTCCATGAAAAGATTACCTCACAGGCACTTTCACGCATTAGTTTTCCATATAAGGCTGAGTTGCTTATATGAGCATTTTCAAAGTGTCAGTTGGACCAATGAGAGCCCAATGAAAAGGGGGAAGGTGCACGTCATGGAGTAGTAACAGGCACATCCATTCCATCATTTTTCCAAAAGCAGGTCATCTTTTGGCAGCTGAGAACTTTGATCACAGCAAAGTGTTGACACAAAAATCAATCACATTCTCCTTAGTTCAAGATCAGTATGCAAAAACTCAAAAGACATACACTAAAAGCTGTACAACCAACGTGTTTTGTAATAATTTTGGTTAGTTTCATTTAGAAGCAACTCACAAATTCTGAATTAAATACTGTATATAAATAAACAAGATGACAGTTATAGTCACTGAAACACTTGAGTGCATAATTTTCTGCACTGAGATCTCATTTAGTGTTGTAGCAAATTTTATTAAGCAAAGCTGAAAGGGGAATTGACTTGAATTGCAAAAAATCTTCTTTCTCAGATGAAATAAGCAGCTGTCAAGTAAATACATCCCGGACAACTGGGTCATCAGCTGTCTTTAAACTTCTGGAAACAAGCAGGGGCTAAAACTTTCTTTTTGATGCAGTTTTAATCTAAAGAATCCAGTTTTCACAGAGGTTTTATTAAAAAATGCTGGTTTAAATATTCATAAATGCAACACCTTTACACTTACATACTTTTCATTGTATTTTGATAATTTAGGGGAAAATGGGAGCCAGAGAGCAAAAAAAAATAGAGCAGGCATAGTTTCCACATATGATAAAATTTTATGCTACTGTTTATTTCTTTTTTAAAAGCAGGGTTCTCTTCTTCCAAATTCTACCATTTCACTGAATAATACCATTCCTCTCCATGAAAAATATACCTCTTTGCAAGTTCCTGGAGTTCCCTACTGTTGAAAGATGTTTCAGTGACCAAACAATTCACCCTCTTAGTTACCTTAATGGCAGAGAGATCGATTTTTTCTTCTTTGGGTTTGGCTGGGGCCGGCGCAGGTGCTGGGGCAGGGGCAGGGGCAGCAGCAGCAGCAGGTTTCTTCACGTCCTTCTTTGGTGCCATTTTGTTTAAAAGGATGGGTTAAAAAAAGAAGGAGCTCCTCCAAAAGAACCTGTCAAAATGATACTTGAAAGAGGAGTGGTGGTTCGCTTGATCCACAGCCCAGAGTCTTGAAGGTGGACCCAGAGTGTTAAACGGTATAAGGGCATGCATATATATTTCACTTAGTGCCTAACAGAACCTTGACACATGCCGCTGGATTGGACAGTTCTCTAGTCAAGGGGGATGGCATTCAGCTCAGACTATAAATGGAATCTAAAGGGTCAGGGCTTCATCAATTTTTTTAAACTCCTCTTGCTATTTTTTTTCACCTCCATATATAAAGAAGAAAGAAGTCTGACAAAGCCAGCTTCAGATCCTTTGGTGACAGCAAAGTAGATTGACATAGTTTTTCTTGGTAGAATTACAGTTCTGTTGAAGTTGTAAATCTTTTTCTTTTTTTTTTTTTTTTCTTCCCATGCCCAGGAAACTTCACTGAAGGATTCAGTTTCAACTTGGAATTTTGGCAGGGAGTGTCACCAACTTTCACCCAGCTCCTTTTCTCATGCTCCTCCCTCCTGGCCATAAGTTGCAAGAAATTGCTGGTCAGCAAAGAGGTGACGGGGGTTTTAAAAATAAAAAGCCTACGTATAAGGAAAGCTCTTCAAATCTTAAAGTGTTTTCCCTTCTAGGGAGCACAAACTCTGACTCTCTAATCATAATAAACTCTATGCTAAAGAAAAATAACTCAAATATATAATTTAAATTTCATGTTAGAATTTAATGAAAAATATCAAGTGAGATAAAAATTTCAGCAAGATTTGCTTTCTTAAAAGACAAGTTTTCTAATAGCATGTAGCTTTCAAAGTAGACACTTATCCATTTTACTTTCTAAATGGCATAACATTTAATTATTTATCTGTCATCTAAATATTTTATCCCTATTGGGGAGAAAGATGAAATGGATCTTTTATAACTTTTTAAGTGGCAAATTCTGCCAGAGAGGGGGTTATAATTAGTTCTAAACTATTGATTGTGTAGTACCACCCTCACTTTTTTAAATGAGTGAGCTATTTAATTAATTAGTATAAACAAGTTATTAATTAGAGCAATTATTTCATGAATTTAAAAGTGCAAATTTACAAATTATGTATAAGTGTACAGATATGTATACACATACACATGCATATACTCATATATAACTATACATATTATATATTCTAATTTTTAAATATAGTTGTGCTTAAAGATATAGATTCATCATCTACTTTCTGTTGGTCTGGTGTAAAAGATTTCTCCAACTCAGAGAAGCTTACTCTTTCTGTATATTACAACCAAGAGAGATTAAGATGCTTATATTAGTAATAATCCACCTAAATTACAACTAACCCATAGTTCATCACTCTTTTCCTTATGTGGTGGACTAATATAATGAATTATTTAATTCACATATGTTCAGGGAAGATTTTGGTGTAACATTCTAAATTAAATTTATTTTTTTAACTGGTACATTTTTATGTGCCTATCAATGGAATACTATGTGCTGTTTCAATATATGTATATACATTTGGCAATCAGGTGAAACACATCTGTCTCCTCCAAATTCATCAGTTCCTCATGGTGAACGCATTCAGAATCCATTCTTCTAGCTTTATGGGTTGTAGGGCACACACCTAGTTAGCAGGAGGGCACTAGAACTTCTCACCCACATCTGCCTGTAGCTTAGTACACATCCCTCTCTCCCTGATTCTCTTCCCAGCCTCTGCCATCTCTCTACTCTAAGTTTCAACAAGAGACCAACTTTATATTCCACGCATGAGTGAGATCATGTGGTGCTTTTCGTACCTGGCTTAAGGAAAAGCTTTTTGATTAGTTCCCTCCCTCTTGTTGATCTGCACTAGACTCACCCATTACCGTACGTTAGTAGTTTATAGTCTTTTCCTATATACAGGACACTTATGAGAATTTGAATATGTTGTTTTACCTAAGAATACTATCTCATATTTAAGTAATTAGAGTATAGTTAAAATAATGCTATGCTTATAATAGGAACATTATTTTTATACATAGCAGAAATTTGTCCACCACTTTATTTTCCTTTGAATTTTCAAAGGATAGATTGGAATTTTCTGCAGTCACTGAGCCACAGATATGTTCTTGCTTTAATTCACAGCCTATAATAATACTTTGATTCCTATGCAGAAATCTCCTAAGATATAGAACAGGGTTGACAAGTAAAAGAGCTTTAAATCTTCTGAGCAAAAAAGTTTTAATCCACCTTACCTTCAGAAAAGAAATTGATACAATAAAAAATAGATTAATCCATTTACATAAAATATGTTTTACATTGATAATGTCACCAAAGAGCAATAATTTCCATCTTAACAACTCAAAATACTCAAAATGTGAGATTGGAGCACTTTATTTTTTATATTAAGGGGACAAATGGCTTGATTGCACTATAGCCCTAAATTCCTTTGTTACTGGATATATATCATAAGAGTAGGTATGTATCTGTGTATACATAATTCAATATATTTTATATTTATCATATGGAAAAACTTATAGTATATATTTATTTAAAAATATTATATATATATTTTTTTCCTTGTGTTTTACATAAAATATTTTGGTGTAGAATTTTCTTTTTCTTAAAAGGAGAAATTGCAAAGGAAAAGTGCTATTCTGATCATATCAAGGTACATACTATCATAATGACATTGCTGTGGATATTAACCTTGACATTGTGGCTCAAGAAGCATTTGATACCCCAAAGCCAAAACCCAATCTGATTATGAGAAAAAAAAACTAGTCAGATCCAAACCGAGGGGTACTCTACAAAACATCTAACAAGAACATTTTATAATTGTCAAGGTTATCAACAAAGGACAATCTGAGAAACTGTCAGCGCATAGAGGAGCATAAGGAAACTTGGTAGGTAAATGTAATCTAGTGCTATAGAAGCGATTCTGTTTTTTTTAATTAGTTGTTCAAAACATTACATAGCTCTTTACATATCATATTTCATACATTTGATTCAAGTGGGTTATGAACTCCCATTTTTCCCCCGTATACAGATTGCAGAATCACATCGGTTACACATCCACGTTTTTACATACTGCCATACTATTTTCTGTTGTATTCTGCTGCGATTCTGGAATAAAAAGGAGACACTAGGTAAAAATCTGAACAGGGCATGGATTTTGGCCAAAGACATGTATCAGTACTGGTTCATTAGTAATAATAAATATGTTGTGCTAATGTAAGATGCTAGCAGTAGAACCAACTTGGTGTGCAACACATGGGAACTCTGACCTTTTCTCATAACTTTTTTTGTTATCCTCAAAGTACTCTAAAATAAAACTTATTTGTATAAAAATCAAGAACTAAAACCAACAACAAAAACAATGTAGAAAATAATTCAGCCTCATATTTCAAAGGAGAGAGATATACAACCTCCTTCCTAAGTAGTCATTATTCTTTGTGTTTGGGGTCAGTGTGTTATAGAAGGAAGGTCTAAACATGTTTTCAGTTTATAGCACTGAGGTCTTTTTGAAATGGTCAGTCCTACTGAACACAGACAATATTAGTTATACACAGAAATTACATGTGGAGAAATAATTTAGGGACTTTCTGAAACTATAATTCTGAATCACTTAATATGGCAATCAGAATCAAATTGAAATTTCTCCTGATTCTCCTCCTTCATGTGGGGCTATGTGACAGGACTTACTTGTAAGGGGAAAAAAGGGCAACAGCTGAGGATTCTTGTCCTTAATGCCAGCTGACATGCTGGGTCCAAATCTTCCAAGTGCTCCTCATGCTTAACTGTACCATTTGCTGTATAAGTGTTTTTAGATGCTTACCAAAGCACAGGGGAATGGCAGAGCAGGTACAAATTCATGAGTAAAGGGAGACCATCATATTCTGTCATCTAATCCTATCATATTTCTTTAACCAAGAAGTTTACCACATGGTTAAGCTTTGCCATACATTAATCTGTTTCTTATTGGGCTAACATAAACTACTTGTCTTCAGTTTGGAAATGTTGGCCCAGGAAATGAAGCAACCACTATGTCTTCATGTCATTAGTTCATATCACAGCCTGACACTACTAACCACTCAGTAGGCAACCACAGGGAGTTATCACACATATCGATTTATAAACCAGTCATATGTTATGTGAGATACTAGACCTATACTATTGTATGCTGTGTATCACTAAGGGAACAAGTCAGATTTAGTTTCAGTTCTTTTGGAGAACTGAGGCGAATGTTTGAAGGATTATTCTAATGGGGTTAAGAGAATAAGGAGTTGGGAAAATTGACTTGTAGATATCAGCAGAGGCAACTATTAAAGAAAGGCTAATTGTGTTGAGAACCAGAAGAAGAAAGGACTTTATAGATGAAGAGTGGGGGAGAGGATTCTAGGCAAAACGAAGAAAGTGTGTCTGCATGACACACCTTATCGGAAGTTGCTATATACAATAAAAGTAATATTTGCTGATGCAAATATTATATACTCAAGTACTAAAAAATTTTTACAAATACTCAAGTACTAAAAAATTTTTAAAAGGGGGCAAAATCAAAAGGTAGATTGGAAATGGCTCTATCAGTTGTCCTTTCTAGACTGGGGAGAGAGAGAGGGCCTGAAAAATTTTAAAACTCATTCTTGGTTGAGTGTGTGCTTGTAAAGTAAAGTAGAAATACTGTTTATCTAGCAGAAAGGAATATCAAATAGGTGATTGCATCTTTAAAAAAAAATCTCAAGAGTATAAGGTTAAAATGTGTAATGGATTTTACCTGCCTGTATCATGCTCTTAGGAAGGGGGAGATAGGAAATGTTATTTTCACTTTGTAGGAAAAACATTGAAGAAGAGGAGTATTGACCTGGTCAGCATCAGTAATTCAGTGTGTTTCTTACTTCCTACCAATCATTTTGCCCAAGTAATCAACTTTTGTGTGTGTGTGTACACAATAATTCCTCAAGAGCATTGACACTTATTTTGCATTTACTGCAGATGGGAACTGTTAAAGCTTTACAAGAAAAGACTAGAATTAGACTTGAATTTGTTGTCATAAGCCCTTTATACATTCCTAAAAAAAAAAAAAACAAACCCAGAGGCTTGTTGGTTAGTACTTAGTATGCAATAATCATGAAATTT